GGAGAGGAACCCATAAAGAAAGAAAACTCACTTGTACTGACTTGCCAATGGTTTGATTTCATTACCAACTCTTACACTCAGTCTGCCCCCTGGCGGCCAGTAGGGAGAACAGCAGTGATTATCTCAACATATTTCCTTTTTCTTTTGTTTCAGTCCACTTATTTCCAGTAACTCTGTGCAGGACTTTTAATTATATAATTAATGGAGGGTGTAATGATTAATGAACACCATTCATTATAAGGAGTTTCATAACTCCTAATAATGAATGATATGTCATTAAGGGCTACAGCCTGTACAGTGAGCTTCACCTGATGATGACTAAATTTAGACTGTATTAATAATATGACTTGGTACAGGATAAACTTTAGCCTACAAAGTGGGCGAACAAGTCAAACTCAAATGAGCCAAATAAGCATTCAGTTGGTCTGTATCAGGTAATGTTGCTGATTAAAATTTAAAAAGGAACATTTAGTTTGTACAAACTGAGTCTATGCCCTGCTCTTCAAAAAGGACGGCTACGCCTCTGTGAATTAATCATCAGTCTCTCCCTGAAAACTTCACCTCAGTAACTTGGCCCACCACTGTGAGTTTATAAGTTTATAAATTGCTAAATTCCTCCAAAACTTGTGACAAGCTAAGTATTAATCAGATTTTTTAACGTTTAATGTAAAACACCACTCATTATCAATTTTAAAAGAGGCTTTTCAGATAAATGTCTGTCTCAGCTTTGAACTAATGTGGAAACTGACCACTGTAATTAGTCTGATTTAGACAAATCTTTTCTTCATAAAACTGCTCCATACGTGCTTTGTTAGAGGGCTGATTATTATGTGTGTCAAGGTACATTTTGATGTGAATATGGGAGCAGTTATAGACACAGGAGAAGTGAAAATGATCAGCCTGACTGGGATGAATACTGATTATGCATTAAGAGTGGCTAAGTAAAGATCCGGCTCTGGTGTGATGGATCCTCACAGTTCCTGTAGCGGGACGTGACCGCAATAAAGATCTGCAGCTGAGCTCTGCTATGGACTCATCCACAGCAAAGTGCAGTCAAAAGGTACATGTTTAAATAAAAGCACTGTTAAACTAAGCACTGATTAAACCCCTGATGACAGTAATGCATCTGGAAAATAAAAACTTTAACAGGGTTAGTCATGTGTCAGTCATTTTAAAAAACATTTTGTCTTCATTTTTCCTCACCCCACATAATTCTACCATCCCCCGGCTCTAAACAGTCGATGTCAGACTGAAGTGAAAGTGACAGGTTACCCAGCAGCAGTGTGGTCAGCATCCAGGTGCAGCCTCTTGAGGATAAACCAAAGGTGCAACTCTGTCAGAGCATTTAGAGGTATAGCCTCTTCCCAGTGGCAGCCTCTGTGAAAAACAGCTTCGGCTGAAAGATATAGCTGACAGGCTGACTGCAGCAGAAAGGATTATGCCCAGGGTCTGCATTAGTAAGGGAAAGTCCCTGCAGTTCTTCTTTGCCTCGGCAGTATTTTACAACATTTTAATAATCAGCCTGGAGACAGTCCTACTTTGAACTGATACATTGTGCAGGTTGTTTTCATTCAGTGTGTTGCACCTCTGCTGTATGAACCCATCGAATCATATCTTCATATGAGACCAAGTCTCTTCAGGACTTGGTCTGATCAGAAACCTGCAAACTTTGTGCTAATGTTGATTATTGTGCTTCAGAATAAATGGTAAATACTTTAAGCACTTATTTCCATGCAAACCATTCAAATACATATTGATTTATTTTATATGCATATATCTGGTACTGTGCATACAGCACTAAAATTCATGTGTGAGTGTTGCAGTAAAGTCACACAACTTATTTCCATTGCAGTCCTGAAGTCTAGGCAGGGAGGCAGACAGGCAGGAAAAGGGAATGACATGTTGGCTATAAGCTATTAATATCCAATTTCACACTAATACAACTAATAAAAACACAGTCATAAAAGACAGACAATAAAAAAACACTCAAATTTGGAAACCAGACCAAAATCTTTAAACTGTTCTGTAAAGGATGTTTCACTATATACTGGCTACTCAGCATTCAGTTTTAGGGTTAAAAAAAAAAAAATCAGAAAATGAGCAGATTTAATTTCATTTGGGATTTTATTCCACTCCTCCCGCTCTGTGTAGAGGAATATGCTTCTCCCTGTTTAACTTTTTACACTGGGTTGTTTCAGATAATATACACTAGGCCTCGTATTCAGGACAACAGAGTCATGAACACACTGAAAATGGACACAGACCTTGTAAAATCTTAAATACTAATATTGATAATACATTTTAGCTTTGAATTCTGATGCAGAATAGCCACTGCTCCACCCGGCTCGGTCTTGGCAAGGTG